ACCTCCAACACTTCTCGTAGATGCTTGCCATGCTCCTCCTGGCTTTTCGAGTAAATGAGAATGTCGTCGATGAACACTATCACAGATTTATCGAGGAATGGTTTACAAACCCTATTCATCAAATCCATGAATGCTGCGGGAGCATTGGTTAGTCCGAACGACATAACCAAGAACTCGTAGTGTCCATATCTTGTTCTGAATGCAGTCTTCTCAATATCCTGCTCTCTCACCTTCAGCTGATGATATCCTGACCTAAGATCGATCTTTGAGAAGTAGCTCGAACCTTGCAGCTGATCGAATAGATCATCAATCCTCGGTAATGGATACTTGTTCTTCACCGTTGCCTTATTCAACTCTCGGTAGTCTATGCACATCCTCATGCTTCCGTCCTTCTTCTTCACGAATAACACCGGAGCTCCCCAGGGTGATGAACTAGGTCGAATGAAACCGCTATCCAACAGCTCCTGAAGTTGCATCATGAGCTCCTTCATCTCCGTCGGTGCTAATCGGTAAGGTGCCTTTGCTATCGGTGTTGTTCCTGGTAATAAGTCTATACGAAATTCTACTTGCCTATCAGGTGGTAATCCAGGAAGATCTTCGGGAAAGACTTCCGGATAATCGCACACAACCGGTATATTCTGCACCTCTTTCTTTTCTTTCTTAGCATCGATTACGAATGCCAAGTACGATGCACATCCTTGGACAAACATTTCCTGGCTTTCATCAAGGATATGATTCCAGAACTCACTCTGCGTTTGTCCCCGTACACCATAAATGATTCCTTTCCGGGTGGGTTTATCCTAACTATCTTCTTTCGGCATAATATCTCGGCATCGTTGGCGCTAAGCCAATCCATACCCAAAACGATGTCGAAACCGTTTAACTCTATGGGTAATAGTTCCTCCTGGAATTCGTTTCCGTTTAGGTCAATGACGATGTTCCTAATACGATTACTAACAGGTACGAATTTGCCACTGGCAACTTCTACAATTAGGGCGTTATCAAGTTTTTCTACAGGTAATGCTAATTTCGCACTAAATTTATGCGACACAAAGGAGTAGTTGGCTCCGGAATCAAACAGTATATTTGCAGGCAAACCATTTACAAGAAAGGTACCTGAAGCGACGTCTGCTGCCTCCTTTGCAGCCTCGAGCGTCATCTGGAAGGCTCTCGCCTTCGGCTTTGGTGGTATGTTGGGTCTTCCTGCCTCCTTCTTCTTCGGGCAGTCCTTCAAAATGTGCCCTTCTTCATTACACCCATAACAGGCCTTCTGGTTAAGGTGCATTCGTTGGCATAGTGCCCAGGCTTTCCGCATTTGTAACAAGTGACCCCTCCATCACACTTCCCAGAGTGCTTCTTCTTGCACTTGTCACACCACTTTGCTTCTGATCCTCCTCCTCTCGAACTAGACTTCGAGAATCTACCTTTCTTACCGGACCTCGAGGATCCGTCAAATTTCCGTTTCTCTCCCACTTCCGCTCTCTCCAGACCCTTTTCTCGTATCTGGGTCTCCACATTCTTAGCAGCCCAGATGGCAGCTTTTAGAGTGGTAGTTTGCTTGACCATTGGACCGAAGTCCGCTGGTAATCCGAGGGCAAATTTGTTAACCTTGGAGAGTTCAGTTGGGACGAGGTGAGGAACAAGCTTCATTTTCTCAGTAAAGCTTGCAGCGTATTCAGTAACGCTCATTCTTCCCTTCTTCAGATTCTGGAATTCGTTGCTGATCTCCAGAAGATCCTGCTCAGAGCAGTATTGCATCTTCAACTGTACCAGAAAATCCTCCCACGACATTTTGCTTGCTTCACCTTTGGGCATTGAATCAGCTAATAGCTTCCACCAGCTTAGTACTCCAGATTTCAATAGAGGAACTGCAAGAGCAGTCTTCTGCCTATTGCTACACTCGCAACTCTCAAACATTGTCTCCATCTCAGAGATCCAGTTCATGACTTCCACCGGCGTCGGGCTTCCGGATAGACTCGGTGGCTTGGATGCCATGAAATCCTTGTATTTGCATCCACGTCCATCATTTCCTCCATCCTGGTGGTTTTGCCTAACTATCGGTGGGTTGGCTTGACCAATAGTCCCACTGTAGTTTCCTTCTTCAGTCTGCCCTTCGTTCAACTCGGGCTGTTCGAGCTGAATAGTCGCTTCCTCTCGATTTTGCTGGAGCAAACGCCTGGTTTCCTCCATTTGACGATCCAACATTGCCTGGATCATCGCTTGCACTCCGGCCATCGTTATTGGTCCGGCAGCGGCTTCCACAACTGGTATTTGCTCGATCACGGGGGGTTGGTGTCCGTTCCCATTTGCGTTTACGTTTCCGCTACGGGTCCTTACCATCTTGATCTATATACCGAATAAGGTGGATTTAGATCTTTATTTAGGAGAGACGTTTTAAATCGTCCTTATCACTCCGAAACGTTTACATGCTAGTTCTAATATCGTAGTCGTACGTTTAGAATCCTAAACACATAAGGTTCCAGATCCGGTCGGCAACAGACCATAGATCCCGAACAAAATAACAGCATATCATGCATAAAACATTTAGCACATAAAAGCATTTTAGGCACAATTCCTAAAATAAGCTAGTGCTCACACCTCACAATCATCGCTTAGCATTCTAAGTTTAAGTCTAGAAATCCTACAAATTCCTAGTTCGCTTAAACTAATGCTCTGATACCAACTGTGACATCCCCAAAATCACGGCCAGAAAAGACCGGTTTTGTTTATACTTTATTTCAAAATCAGAGTTATCTTTTAATAAAAGGGTTGCGGAATTTGTCCCAAAACAATAATATGATAAAGATTTATCAAAAGCATTTCCATAGAAATGTATTTCATTAAAAGACTCGGGATGTCATGTTCGTACAGATCAAAAGTATAAACAGTACAATATAAGCCTTACTACATTATTTCATATCTACAGGCCTATATCCGTAATCCCTCGTCCAAAACATCACACCTATGCTCATGCGCCACTACCTGTAATGCATAAAACTGAGTGGGTCAGGCTTGGGAGCCTGGTGAGCACATAGGGTTTTCAACCCACAATAAGTTTATTAATTTCATCAATCAACAATAACCCGATTACCCGTTCCCGTTATCCTCACTTTACGTCCCTAAACACCTATCATAAGGGACCTAGCCTAAGGATCATCATCGGGACGGACACTACTGCTAAGGGGATTCCTCAGCAATAAATGTCCTAATAGGCAACCATGTGGGGGATGGAGTACACCGGTGAACACATCGTTCACAACACCTACAGGTTGCGAGCCTGCTAGTGTTCCACTGGACTGTCTAGAAGAGTCCGTGGTCGTCATCTATACTCCGCTAGATGACTGGATCAACAACAACAACATCGAGGCCTCTCATCATTTTATCACACATCACCTATTACATCTACCCATGTTTTACCCCAACATTTTCGTAGATATAAAATACATATACAGTTTAAATCATTGAAAACATGTATAACAACGTTCATCTAGCATAGATAGCAAGTATTCAGATAATATGCACACATAGCACGTAATTTATATAAAATACTTCATATCTATGTGTAAGTTGAAGGTAACTATGCACTCACCGGAAAAGGTGGTGATTCCGAACTCAGACAGCGCTTCGCTTCTTAAAAAGAATTTTTCTTCGACGAAACCTAGTATTATTACCACTAGAGTTTAGTTTATTATTCGTCGAGACTAATTAATAGTCTAGCTATTATTATTATTATTATATAAGCGTCAAAAAAATACTTATATAACCCATAATAATAGCCCAAGTATTTATTATAAGTTCCTAATAACGTTACTATAATTAAATAAAAGTTATATTAAAAATAGCGTAGGCGTAGCTCACTTACAGCGGGTTTTATAGAAAACCGGGCTTTGCTTGGAGCAGCGTTCCCGAGCCGAAAAGCTCTTCTTCTCGGAGCCTTCGAGCACTCCGGGGCTTCCGCCTCGTGCTAGGGAGGTTCCCTAGGCTTTTCGGGGGATTTCGGGGCTAGAGAGAGGTTCTAGAGAGAGAGAGAGAGTAAAGAGAAGAAAGAATGGGAAAGGTGTGAAGAAAATGAGGGTGGGAGAGGTGGTATTTATAGGGTGAAATGTGGCTGAACTTGGTGCCACATGTCACCATCTGGTGGCAAGCCTTGGGGAGAAAGCAATGGCCAAGATTGTGCCACATCACCCATTTTCGCACAGCACACTTCCGACTTCTAAAATCCGTAACTTTCACATACGACCTCCGTTTTTGACGTTCTTTATATCCACGCGTAGGTAATAATAAGATCTACAACTTTCATTTTGACACCGTCAGCTAATTCTCGACCGATCTTAAATTTAACAGTACAAGGAGATTATACTGTTAAACGTCTGCGTAAAATTAATAACTTCTACATACGGACTCTGTTTTTGTCTGTCTTTTTACCGTTGATTTCCTATTAATGAGATCTTCAACTCTCATTTATGTTGCGTAAGCCAAAAACCGCTCGAACTAAAATTCGAGTTTCAGGCCGTGCACTGCTAAGCCGAATCTTAGAAAAATCATAACTTCTTCATACGAAGTCAGATTTGGGCGTTCTTTTTATCGATGTTCTTAGTTTAACATATTCTACGACTTTTGTTTAGATTGCTAAGGCTAAAAAGTCTTCTATCGTAAATTCACTATTTACGTCTCCCGGTATCGTGCCGGTTTTGTCGTAAAACTTCGGCGGGCCATAACTTCTTCTTTATAGCTCGGATTTCGGCATTCTTTATATGCACGGAAACCTTGAGACATATTCTACAACTTTATGTAGAGATATCGGGATTATCTCGCACTTTAATTTTGATGCTCATTTTTATTCTTTATTAATTATACATTTATAATTAAATAATAAACACATAAACACACATAATTCACATAATACTCAAATATTTCATATTTATTACTTCAAAAAGAGTTACAATAGTTGACCTAGACTATTACATTGACAAAAATGCTTAGCCCTGAAAACCCAGGCGTTACATAGCTGACTTCTCCCACATGGACCTTCCATTGATTGGACTAACCTTAAAAGAATACATCTCTTTCCAGCTTGATAACCAGTAACATGGATGCACAAATGATTCTGGGATTCCCACATCTTTGTCATTCCTCCCCATGTCCCAAATAGCAGCCACACCATGTTTGCATGGAATTCCTGTTAATTCCCACCTTTTGCACGTACAACTTTGTTGACCTACATCCACAATACACTGATCTTGCCATGGTCCAGCAACTTGATATTTTCCAGCACCACAAAATGTTGCAACATACTGTTCTGCCTTACTCTTTATGTTATCCAATATTGTTGTAGCTGTAGGAGTCAAAGGACCTACAACTTTCTGAATTTCCTTGTCAACTTTGACTATCTTCTTCATAATGTACTCTCTGATGAACTCAATGCAGTTAATAATTGGTGCATCACGACCATCTTCTATCTTGCTGTTGAATGCTTCACACAGATTATTAGTTAGAGCATCACAATGTGCTCTCCCTGAACATAAACAAATTCTATGTCAGTATTCAATTTACCTTCTTTTAAAATTATTAAGTAGAGATCGAAAGTCATTATACCAGTAAAGTGGGAGCGAGCCCAACTTTGAGGAGGTATTTGTTTCAGCCACTCATAAGCATCATTGTTAAGCTTCTTTAGTTTTTCCATTGCTTGATGAAAGTGTTGTACATTAGAGGTCGTGGCACATTCCCAAAGAAGATCCTTGAACACCTTTCCCCTCCAGTTCTTTTTCATGTTGTCGTGTATGTGACAAAGACAATAGCGATGCCCTGCACATGGAAATAGTGTTGCAATCGCAGGCAACAAACCCTAGCAATAGTAACATGTTTGTATGTTAGTATAACTGCATCAATAGTATAAAACTATAAAACCTAGTTTGGATAGGTTCCAATACCTTTTGCCTGTCAGTCATAAACGTGAAATTGGAATTTGTTCCCAAACCTAAGTCATCACCCAAATTACTTAAAAACCAAGTCCAAGAATTCAATGTTTCTGATTCAACCACAGCATAGGCTAAAGGATATATCCCATTATTACCATCCAATGCCTTTGATAAGAAACATAAATTACCAGAAAACATTGGTCAGTTAACACTAATTAAAATAAAGAACATACAATACAAAAAGAAATAAGAAGATCTTACCACAGCAAACAAAACTTGGCATGGATATGGACCTTTCACGAAGGCTCCATCAAGTCCAAGAAAGTCCCTTCTTCCTGCTGCAAAACCTCGCTTCAAAGCTCCAATGCAAACATAGATACGCCTGAATGTTCTTGTCTCAACAGTTGGATTCGCTTCACTTTCAACATCAATTTTAACCGTAGTATCTGGGTTACGTGCTTGTACCTCTAAAACATAATCCCTTAACAACCTGTATTGGCTGGCATAATCTCCTTGAACATGCTTTAAAGCTTGCTGCTTTGCCCTAAAAGTTTTCATATGCGAAATGTCCATCTGGTACTCACGTTGGAGTTGCTCTCGTAAAGCCCTAATAGGAATCTTTGGGTTTGTCTCAATAACTTGTACTATATGCTCTGAAAGGAACTTATAGTCACATGCTTTGACTTTCCTTGTTTGTAGACATCGATGCTCCTTCGTGTATGTCTTAACCATCCAATCTATGTCACGCTTCCACTTACTACAATATATAACCCATGGGCATTTCTCTTCTTCATTAGTAGCAAGATTTGGTATAGTGCCCTTACACACAAACCTAACCCTATTCTTATCATTTTTCTCTAATTGTATTTCCCTTCTTGTCCTTATGGAATGTATTTCACTTGTGTCTTAAAGTCCTTAGATGAACTGAAAGTTTGAAAAATGTAGAAGGGCTCACTAACCAAAGCTGCATCATTTTCATAAGCCCTATGTATGGCCCTAATAGTTTTCCTTCGCTTACCATCATTTGCCTCATCTGATGAAGACCCAGACAACAAAACCTCTGTGTTGATCACTTCTAAGTCACCTTGTTGTGTATCTTCAGGTACATTACTTTCAGAAGAACCTCCAACCCATTCTACATCCTTGTCAATGTTCATATGGAAATCTTTCATATCCACATCAACATCGTGTATGAGATTGTCCTCATCAATAAAAAAATCACTATCTTCACTCTCACTATCATCATCAAACTCATCATTTCCACTGCCATTGTTGTGTCCACTACCATCATAATCATCCTCATTCTCTACATTCATTTCAAATTCAATATGGTCGACCAAAGATGGTTCTTTGTCCAAATGACTATCATTCTCAACTTCTGTTAGGTCTGGAACACTCTCATGCTCAATTGGAGAGTCATTCCACTCCAAGAACAACTGTTTGGAGCAAGCTGGTGGCTCTTTAATTTCAACAATTTTAACCTTACTAGGGTTGGGGGACATAGAATAAGTATGTAAATTTGTTTTCCCATGCTCAATATATACATCTATTACCTTATGGTTAGCAACATACGTACCCAGATGATGAACATCCTGATCTGAACCCAAAGCAAATAACCCAAAATCCAAATCGCCAAATGGTCTCAGGAAATGATAATAGAGTAGTGTTTCGTCTGAATCAATATGCCCAAGTTCCTCCATCATCTCGTCAATGTCGTGAATGGAAAAGGTGTCAATGTCTAGTAAATCAACATAATTTTGCTTGCCTTTGATGTACTTTCTTCCAGGGAACTTTGTAAACTGTCCACCATGGTGTAATCGGACAGAGAATATCGTCGGATGTCAGGCTGTATATTCACGGAAAGATTGGTTAGTCACATTTTTCTTTTTAAGTTACTAACTGATTGAGGGAGTAAACACTTACCATATCTACGAGCAACGTCAATCTCGTCCATGGTAGCACGTATCCTCCAAGGCGCCATCGTCGTTTTCAAATGTAGGGTTCTTTCGATCAAGGGTTTTCAAGGGTTTTCAAAGGGTTTTCAAAGGTTTTGTCTGTGAAGCTTGTGTCTGATCACGTTGATCAACGATACGTCCTTTTTTTCTTGGCGGTATAACATTGGATATGTGAAAAGACTTTTATACCCCCAACGTGCAAGGCACGTGGGGTGTCTAACGGAAACAATTGACGGAATGTGAGAATAGGGACGTGGCGGGTTACATAATTAAAAGTTGAGGACAGTCCGAGTTAGAAAAATAAGTTAGGGACCAAGTGTGTAATTTACACTAAACAACAGGGACCATTCGCGTAATTTACTCATTTAGAAACCAAGTATATAAGAACAAGTATGTAAGAGGAAGATATGTAGTTACTTACATGATCATCATAACTTTATATTAAATCCTTAATGAAAAAAAAAACTTACAAATAACCTTACTTCTATCTTTTAAGAAAGGGCTAAAATCCTATGAGAATTGCACTTTCTTGCAGCTTTATAGCCTCACCAACAAATCATCTGTAGGCTTGAATTCTATCTCTTCAAATAAATTTTGATCTTTATTGACTTTGTGTTTCTTTGCTACAAGTGAACACATCAATTTTAATAACTTTAAACAAATCATCTTCATGTGATAATTGGAAAAATAGAACAAAAGCAATTAAAATACATGATATGTTAAACCTATGCAAAAAGAACATAAAAAATGAAGATGCCATAAACATCTCAATCCCAAATCTAGAACATTAAAAAGTACAGGAGGTACTAACTCCTAATTTCCTTAAAGTTCAAATACTTCATAATTTCTCGAGTTATGATTTAACAAAAGTTTATTCAATTTACAACTAAAAGCAGCCAAAACAAATACTTTTTTTTGTAAGCAACAATACGAGGAAAAGCACATGCTCATTGTATACTCCTTTCAATTTACAACTAAAATCAGCCAAATTTCTCAGTTAATCGAAATATTCAACAAACAATTCAGCAACAACAAAGCAATAATTCACTGTTAATATAAATTTACAACTGTAATTGAACTCAACAATAAAAAATATGAGAAATTAAGATTCTTACAAGTTAATCGAAATCAAAGAAGCCGCCTGGGATGTCTATAATCGAACTCAAAGAAGCTTTTTCGAGTTGTGGTTGTGGACGAAGTGGGATGTGGGAAACGATTTGGAGAAATCAACTTGAGGTCTCAGATTCGGTGGACCTGCTTGCTGCGGCGGATATGGTGGGTCGTAGGATGTCGGCGGAGATGGTAGGTCGTTCGACATCGGTGAAGGTGGAGGAGCACGGTATGGCTTGACGGAGGAAGGAGTGGCATGGGTGAGTTCTAGTTTAGCGATTGAGGAAGAAGAAAGCAATGAGGGGTAGAAAGGGGATTATCGTGTCACTATTTCAGTCAACCATATTTTTTTTTGATTGACCGAGTAAGGAGTTGGGTCGGCTGTTGCAGACCGAGTCAGTAATTCTTGGGCTTTATCAAACAGGCTGATTAGGACCGAGTCATCCAAAATTGTTAACCATCCCGGTCAGCTCATTATCAAACGGACCCTTACCTTTTAATTTCAAATTTTCTAAAGTTAAGAAACTAATATTAGTTTCTTTTCTTTATTTAAATTTAAAAGATAAAAACCATTTTCATTATAATAATTAAATATTTTTCTTATTTTCTTATAAGTTCAAAGTTCTCAAATATTTTGAACTTTATATTTAACTTTTTTTTACATTAACTCATATAATACATAGGCCTTATAACTAATTAGTACTATAACAAATATTACTATGAATTTTGTAAATTCAGTTATATATCACTATAAAATGTATTCATAACATAGCTCATATCTAATATTCTTTTATAAATATTAATGATAAATATTGTAAAGACTAAACTGCACAAATGGTCCCTGTGGTTTGCTCAAAATTGCTACTTTGATCCAAAAAGTTTTGGACTAGCACCAGAGGTCCAAAGTTTTCATTTTGTTGCTTGTTTGGTCCAATCTGTTCTGATTTTTTTTAAAATGACGGATTTGCCCTTGTTTATATGATTTTTTTTCTTTTTGCTTATTTGTTTTTTCTGATTTTCAGATTTAAAAAAATAAAATAAAAATAAATCTCTCTCTCTCTCTCTCTCTCTCTCTATCTATCTATCTATCTATCTATCTCCCCTACACACACTATTTCTCCTTCATTCTTCATTTGTTCTTCAAGGTTCTTAAGAACCCCTCATCTTCGACTCCATCACTGTCGTCACCCTCAGTCACCATCGTCTTCAGCCACCACCTATCATGGACCACCATCTCGCCATCGTCATCCATCTGCAAACCATTTCTCTGATCTCGTCGCCGTCGTGTATATGTATAAACCTTCGTTTTTCCGGCAATCTGAAAAACTCCGTTGCAACTCGATGAAGCTCTAGATCTGTAAACTATCGTTCTTCCGGCGAGCCTTGTCTATTTCCATGTTTATCTGCTTTCTTCATCAGCAAACCCTAGCGATTTGGTGACGACGTTCCAGAGAAGACGAAGGGCGGCGAAGAGTTAGGGTTTTCAGAAAACCCTTAGCGGCTACTCTTAATTCAGCACCGCTATCATCCACCGAAAACCCTAGCTCCGACATCTTCATCAGGAAACCCTAGCACTGGTATGTGTTGAACGACGCCCTTACCTTCGTGTTCCCAAATCCGACAAGAAAAAAGATAAAGACGGTAACGAACAGATTAAGTGACGAACATATCCACTGGTTAATTTCTTTTTCTTATTTTTTGGCAGATTTGGTGTTGCTGGTGGTTTGGCAATCATTTTGTGTTGATGACAATCAATGGTGTTTCAATGGTAGTGTAATGATCTGATGGAGAAAATGATGGGTTGTAGGGTCGGTGGTGGCTAATGGTGGGTAGTGTAGGCAGTGATTGATAAATGAGGGTGGTGATAGATGATGAAAGGTTCAGTTGAAGGTTGAAGGATGGTGAAGGTGATCAATGGTGAGGGTGGTAAAATGGTGTTGGGTCCATGTTCGGATTATGAAGGGAGCGAGGATGAGGGGTGGCTGAAGATGGACGGTGGTGGATTTGATGATGAGGGGTTCTTGAGAACCGTGAAGAACAAATGAAGAGGGAAGAAGATATATATATATATATATATATATATATATATATATATATATATATATATATATATATATATATATATATATATATATAGAGAGAGAGAGAGAGAGAGAGAGAGAGAGAGTGAGTGATATTTATTTTTATTTTTTATTATTTTAAGAGAGAGAGAGAGAGAGAGAGAGAGAGAGAGAAATTTATTTTTATTTTTTATTTTTTTAAATATTAAAATCAGAAAAACAAATAAGGAAAAAAAGAAAATCATATAAACAGGGGTAAATCCATCATTTTGAAAAAAATCAGAACATATTGGACTAAACAAGCAACAAAATGAAAACTTTGGACCTCTGGTGCTAGTCCAAACATTTTTGGACCAAAGTGGCAATTTTGAGCAAACCACAGGGACCATTTGTGCAGTTTAGTCTATTGTAAATGTTGGTTGGTTTTACCATAAACAAAAGAATAAACTATTTTACAATTTGACTTTTTATTTTATTCTTTAATTTAGCTTCATATTTGATAAAATGAAAGTTAATTATAGAAAAACTCTATCAATTACATATTTGATAAAATGATATGTATCAAAGTTAATTATAGAAAAACATCAATTACTTATAAGGTCATTACTATAAAAATCATTTAAAGAATTCATATATGACTCCTTAGGATCCTAGGATCCGTCAAATAATTGTATCAACAGTAATAACATGAGCACTCAAAATTGTCTTCCTTTTCTAATCCACACTTTGTGAAAAAGCTTCAATTTTTTCATCACCTTCAATACCCAGATGAATGTATTGCATATGAGCAGGATCCATTGATTTAAGTTTTTCAATTCCTTTAAAATTTTGAAATAAGTGTTGCTCTCTTCCATAACATTACGCGAAGAAAAATCACCATCAATGCGAATGTCGATATCTGTAATCTTCTTTTACAGACGTGTTTTATATGCAAGTTGTATAATTCTTTTGTCGTCATAAAAAGACTTGAGGTCACTTTCAAAACTTTTGAAGTTTCTTGTTAAAGAAACCATTTGGTTATCGGAAATATCATCATGAGAATGCCAAAAAGATTAAGACGTCCCGTCGAACGCATCTGTTTTGAACCAAGAATGAAAAAGATTCAACGTAGCTAGACCAAACTAAATCACCAATTTATTTAGAATAATTAGGTTATGGGAAAATGACTTAATATAATAAAAAGTTGTGAAACTCGTGTATTATATGATTTTATTTAAAAAGAAATCAAATATGAATGTGTAGATACTTGAGAAATTTGAATTTATAACAAACGTGAAAAAAAAAATATTGAATTATTGCAATTTAAGTGTTTTTCTCATTTAAATTAGAAAAATAATTAAGATAAATAAACGACAAAAACTAATGGGGCTTTTATTTAGGAATTTTGAAATTAGAAAGAAATTCATTAACAAAATTGATATCTATTTATTATTACATTTATTGCAATTATTATGTTTGAATAATATATGAAATTTAATAAAATGATAAAAAAAACATTAAAAAAAAAAAAAAAAAAAAAAAAACCCACAAAATGACATATTGCAAAATGAAAGATAGAATGATATGTGGCAAAAAGATATTTATTTATTAGAGTAGATATAGTTTTCGGTTTGTACAACTTTAGTCCTTATGGTTCTTTTTTAGAAAATAAGTCCTTGAATTTATTATTTTGTACACATCTAGTCCTTATGACCGACTACTCCATGTTAAATTTTTAGTTTGTATACATTTATTATATATATATATATATATATATATATATATATATATATATATATATATATATATATATATATATATATATGCAAAATAAGTCCTTATTTTTCATATTCAATCCTTATGATCGATTTCTTCAG